AAAAGATTCTTATGGCTAGGGCCGGCCCGGTGGTGCACTGCTACAGTGCGCCGCTTGGGAGCGTGGCGGCGCTCCCGCCGAGGGTTCGGATCCCACATACAGACTGGCCGCTCACTGGCTGAGCGAGGTGCGGGTGCAGCACCGAGGGTTGCGATCCCGTTGCCGGTCCCGGTCCGGTGTGGGCGCGACACTGAGGGTTGCGATCCATTGCCAGTCACGAAAAAAGACAAAAAGGAAAAAAAAAAAAAGATTCTTATGGCTAATGCAGTAAATTATATTTGTACTCTTTTGTTCTATTTACCTTTAATTATGTTGTGATATGCTATTTTTAAGCAGTTTCAGAGAGTTATTAATAGATCATTATCTTGAATGAGTATTTGCTTAATAAAAGAAGGGGACAGAGGAACTCTTTTCAGGTTACCTATGACCAAAGGCCAATTAAGACCATACAGCAATAAGACAGCAGTGTTTTAATTGGTCTTTAAATGTTGATGAGAACTCAGTTATCATTATAAACCCATTGTTATTAAAATATTACTTATTTGGTGGTCTCTTGAGGAAACTACCAAATAATTCTTTGCTGATTAACAATGAGAATAAATATAAAATACTTAACATCAAAGACATTTGTAATTAAGATGTTAACACACCTATTTTTTTTATGTTAAAAAAAATTTACCCTCTTAATTTTTAATTGTATAGTATTGTTAACTATATATACCTTATTATACAACAGATCTCTAGAACTTTTTCATCTTGTGTAACTGAAACTGTACTCATTGAATAACAACTCCCCATTTCCCCCTCCTCCCAAGCCCTAGCAAGCACCATTTTACTTTCTGTTTCTATGAGTTTGATTACTTTAGATACCTCATATAAGTTGGAACCGTGCAGTATTTGTCTTTTGTGATTGGCTTATTTCCCTAAAGGTTTATCATGTTGTAGTATATGACAGGATTTCCTCTTTTTAATGCTGAATAAGTCATCGGATTGCGTATCCACATTTTCTTTATCCATTCATCCCTCCATGGACATTTAGGTTACTTCCACATCTTGGATAGTGTGGATAATGCTGCAGTGAACATGGGTGTGTCTATAGCTATATCTGTAGCTATATATAGTGTGTCAAAGGCTATATCTATTTTTCTCTTGCAGATATATTCGACTTTATGGGAGAAAATTTAGCAAAGAAGATCATGTTCTTTTTATTAAGTTATTGTATGAGCTGGTATCAATTCCAAAACTGGAAATCAGCATGATGCAGGGATTTGCCCGTCTCTTGATCAACTTGTTAAAGTAAGTCCATTTCTTATGATTTCTGCTAGGTTTTTTTTTTTTTTTTTGGTTGTTTGTTTCTTCAGGGTTTTGGGGAATGAGAGCTAAGGGCTATTTGGTAAGAAGACCAAGTCCCAAATTGTCGATCTGGAAAAAGATTGTAGAAAACATTATCATAGGTATAGTCATATGTGTTAATTAACCTTTTAATTAAAATTCCATCTCCTTCATGAAAGCTTCTCTTCTCTAGCAAACAATGTAAATGTTGTCAGTTTCATTTATGATAATTATCTTCCCTTATGCGGGTTGTAAGTTCCTTGAGAAGACAGGGATCATATATTCTTTTGCTTATCCCAAAGTATTCAGCACAATGCTGGAAACATTAAGTACTCCATAGATAGTGTGGGAAAGTATGTGAAATTCATCTACAGCAATGTGGCATAAATTTAAATGCCCTGTTTTACCAGATGCTCTTTGAGTTTTGAGCAGCAGCGAGAGTCTGGTATATTGTTCTTCCTAATACAGTTGGCCATCCATATCCGTGAGTCCTGCACCCACAGATTCAATGCAGATTGAGAATATTTGGGGGAAAAAAACAATACAACAGCGAAGAATAATACAACAGTAAAAAATAATACAGATTTTATTTTTTATTTTATTCTTTTTCTGGCAGTTGGCTTGTATGGGGATCCGAACGTTAAACCTTGGTGTTAAAACAACATAACTATGACCAACCAAGCTAACTATTCTCAAATTTTAAAAATAAAATATAAAAACTGTTTACATAACATTTACATTGTATTAGGTATTACAAGTAATTTAGAGGTGATTTAAAGTATATGAGAAGATCTGCTTAGGTAATATGCAAATATTGTGCCATTTTATGTAAGGATCTTGAGCGTCCTCGGATTTTGGTATCCATGAGGGTTCCTGGAACTAATCCCCCACAGATAGTGAAGTACCACTATGCATTGTTCTGCCAGTGAGTTGCTGTGAATGGGGAAAAGCAAAACCCACTGTGATGAGCAGCAGTATTTAACTGTTCTCCCTGCATAGTGTGTATGATATACACATATCTGTGCATGCACACACACACATGTATTTTCCTTTCTTCAAATTAGGAAAAAGGAACTTCTTTCAAGAGATGATTTGGAGTTACCTTGGAGACCACTTTATGACATGGTAGAAAGAATATTATATTCTAAGACAGAGCACCTGGGATTAAATTGGTTTCCGAAGTAAGTGTTTGCATTTAAAGTACTACTTTGGGGGCATTGGGGCTTTTAGAGGATTGATCATGACCGAAAAGTATTGGGTTGTTTGAAGTAAACAAGCAGATATACATTTTATTTATTTATTTATTTACTTTTTGGGTGGTTGGCTGGTTGGGAGATCTGAACCCATGACCTTGGTATTACCAGCACCATGCTCTCCCAAGTGAGCTAACCACCAGCCTGCAAATATACATTTTAATGTATTCAATTCTGTGTAACTTGACTCCTAAAACAGTTCATTGTCCTCTTTTTTTTTTTTTTCCTTTTTGTCTTTTTTTGTGACCGGTAACGGGATCGCAACCCTCGGTGTCGCGCCCGCACCGCGCTCAACCAGTGAGCGGACCGGTCTCTATATGGGATCCGAACCCTCGGCGGGAGCGCCGCCACACTCTACCAAGTGCGCCACCGGGCCGGCCCTGTCCTCTTTAAACTATATCTGAAGCTGCACTTTCCCAACATCACCATACTGGCCAAGGAAAGCAAAGAGATTTTTGTTTGAAATCTAATTTTTGTCGGTAGAAGAAATGCACATTTGGCATTCTTTGTAAAATATCCATGTGGGTGTTTTTTTTTTTTTTAAAAGATGGCCGGTAAGGGGATCTTAACCCTTGCTTGGTGTTGTCAGCACCACGCTCAGCCAGTGAGCGAACCGGCCATCCCTTTGTAGGATCCGAACCCGTGGCCTTGGTGTTATCAGCACCGCACTCTCCCGAGTGAGCCACGGGCCGGCCCTTCCATGTGTGTTTTGATTCTTCAAGAAAATGAATGCTTCAAGAACAGGAGCTTTGCTTATTCCAGAGTGTACCCACATCCCAGAGGGCACTCTATTCTCCATGTTAAAGACTCATCAGTTTCAGTGATTGACTGTTTTTTTTTTTTTTTAGAGCACACACTATTCAAATGCACAGTCCTTGGTTTATTTTATTTCCTAGTAATGTTTAGATTATAAATCCCCTGCTGGGTTTTGGCTTCTTGGACATAACTCCTGCCTCTTCAAGACCTCTAATTTTTGTATGTTTTGTATTTTCTGAATTTATAGAGTACAGTATAATCATCTGCCTTCTTTGGTTAATAGTGATTTCAGACTTGACTGCTAAACATCATTTTACCCTGTTAACAGAGGTTCTGTGCAGTTGTGATTTAGCTCTTAACTTTTTCAGTCTAAGCATGTTTGGCTTAAAAAGCTCTTAAATTTGTCATTAAGGCTTTTTTTAAAGAATTTTTTTTCTTCAATTTTTAATATCTGAGTCCTCATTTGTCTCATTTTCTGAAGAGCATTATTTTATATGACTTAATTTCCTTTTTTACTTATAAGTTAAATCTTTAATTTCTTTCGCAATCTTAGGCACGTTTACATTATTTCATTATTTCTTGTAGCCTCTCCAGTTCAAGTTATTTAATCCTTGATTAACCCTCAGGCTTCACTTAGTCAGTAGCCTATGTTTCTTTTTTTTTTTAAAAAAGATGACCGGTAAGGGGATCTCAACCCTTGACTTGGTGTTGTCAGCACCACGCTCACCCAGTGAGCTAACCGGCCATCCCTATATGGGATCCGAACCCGTGGCCTTGGTATTATCAGCACTGCACTCTCCCGAGTGAGCCACGGGCCGGCCCGTAGCCTATGTTTCTTACCATCGAATTTTTAAAAAATGACTTCAGGTGGCAGATTTTAAAAGATTTTCAGGTCATAGGTAAGTGGTGAAAGTGAAATGATATAAATGGAAAGAGAAAAAAATGACTATAGGTGATCCTGAACTTAGGGCCCTAATTACTTTTTTTTGGACAGTGGTCACAAGTAGAGTAGTCAGAAATCATTTATTTCTTGAAGGTTTCACATGTTAAAATAAGGAAACCCATTTCAACCATAAGAATGGTTGAAATGACAGGTACACCTTTATAAAGGCCACTTCTGTGTGGTCATTAATAAATATCTATGGCTTTCCTCTTCAGTGATACCAGCTCTTTGCCTGTAAATAGTGCCCTGTCAGCCAGTGCTTATCATGTTCAGCCCTGTGTCTTGATACTGTGCTTATCATCATGTGTCATATAATCCTTGCTCTTGTGGAAACTTTCCTCCTTAAAAGTTTCACCATGGCTGGCTGTTCTTGGGCTTTTGAAGAGACACCATGACTCTGCTAAAATCTCTGCTTGGTTTAAAGCAGTGAATCTCAACTCTAACAGACTCAGCACTTTATTTTGTATTTTTAAATTAACTCTTCAAAAATGAAATTCGTTAATAATAAGACCTATTTATACTCATTACCTGTACTCAGTGACAAAAATAAATTATTTTGTTTTGAGTATTTTCATCTTAGATGTATTCTGACACATTTTGAAACAGTCAGCTGACTGCATATGTTCATACTATTTTTAGAATACTATTTTTATAATCAGAAGTGAAAGTTCACTTCATTTGTTAACTGTTTGTTTTTCAAATCTTAAACCCATGAGCATTATGTCTTTGTCCTTATTGAAACCACAGCTTTTACAGTGCCATGCATTTCAACATGATTTTAAAAGCTGTTTCTGTTATTTGGAGCAAAGATTGTTAACTTTCTTCTCCCTTTTCTGCCCCCTTTCTCTTTTCTTCCTTTCTTTCTATTCCCTCTCCTACCCTTGTTTTCCTCTTCTTTTTCTTTTTTCTTTCCTTTTCTTTCTCCTTCTCTCTTACAGTCTTTTTGCCTCAGAGGCAATTTTGACCTGATTCAGTCATCTGTTTCTACTTTTCTTTTTTTTTTTTTTTTTTTTTTGCTGGCTGGTACTTTTTAGTGGAGGAAGATTTTGTAGGGTTTTTTATTCATAGCTAAATTGGAAAAGATAATTGTGAACTTGACACAAGCAATATAAAAATTGATTATTGTTTACTTCATAAAAGAAACATATGAATCTTGTGGGCATGGTTTTATTTTATAAAACAATATCCCATACACTTACTGTGAGAGCATATTGCAAGTTACAAATACAGGCAGCACAGTAATGAAGAGTATTGCTACTAACAAAATGTGGGGGAATTATGCATAGATCGACTTTTACAAATTGGCACAGACAGTTCATATTTAAATTGCTATGTATATAAATTTGATTCGTTTTATCACCACTAATTTAGTTTTTGTGGATTGTTTGGTGTTGAAGGTTTACATATTTTCATCATGAATAGTTTTGGCCTAGATAACTCATTTACTATTTTTTTTAAATTTATTTTTTTAAGTATTTAAAAAAAATATTGTTCTAAGGGTGTCATAGTATAAATACATTTTCATTTTTCATATTAATCTGCCTCTGGAGGAATTGGACATTTCCTTTTTTTGGTACTTGTTTTTGATAGCATTTGTTTCTCTTTTGATCTATCAAAGGGCCATTTGAATTGGTACTCTTATCTTTAAGATACAGTTAAATTCTTTGTCCCCTCCCTTCACTCACAACATGGAAATGACATGTTTTAGATCTCTGGGGTTTCTTGGCACATAGGGTCACATTTCTGAGCTTAAGTTACTACTAGCAGTGCATGAATGATCTCCAGCTACACAATTTAATATTATGACGAAATGATGAAAGTAGTTTCTCTGAGGACCTGTTGAAATTTAAAATAGTTTTAAGCTATTTTTATTAGTAAATGATTATTAATGATATTTGCAATGAATTTTAATATAGTATTTGAGGAACATTCTGTTTGCTTTTTAAAAAGTGCTACTTTTATTTGGAAATTAGAGAATAAGTGGTAGATTTTTATTAATGATTTTGATAGTGTTTCTTTTAAAAGTTGTTGCTGTGCTACAACGATCTTTCTTTAAAAACTGATCTTTTAAAAGCAATTTAAAACAAGACTTCATTCAAAGTGAGTAGGCCTCTCATCATTTAAAGCAATTATACATGCTCTTTTTACATGGGTGCTAAAGATTATGACAATTTCTTAAAATTTGTCATAGAGGTATACTTTTTTCTTGAATTTTAATGAAAAACCAGGTTAATGCTGTATCAGTGATGAAGATGTTGCACTGTATCTATAACTTTCTTTGTAGTGAAGTTATCTTGACCCCAGTTTTGAGTGAAGTAGCTATGAAGAATGACTACTTGCTAATTTAACTGAGCAGTATTAGATTTTGAAAGATTAGCTTTGAGATAGGTGATGTTTGACTAACCTGTGGTGGATTTGTTTAGATTTAGAGAGAGCAAGTAAAACTGACTTCTAGGTGAAGTGTTTGGCACATACTTAAGAAAATAAAATATTGTATAAGCAGATACTAAATTATAAGTGGATTAAGGCAGATATATATAGAATATTGCTATTGGTACAGTTTCCCAGTTCTTTTATGAAGAACTAATATGATTATTTTAAAGTTAAATTTTAGTCTAAGTTGTCAGGTGAAGCTGGCAATATTTTTGGCAATGAGCAGACCAGTTTACTATCACCTTGAATATATCATTTGCTGTATATTTTTCTGTCTTAGAAACTAATATTGTCCTGGTAGTTATATAAGGCCAAAGAGGAAGGAGGCATAAACCCCCAAGCTTATATAAATCCAGTAACTCAGCAACTGGAGTAACTGTAGGCTAAAGCTATTGGCTTTCCTCAGGCTTCTTTGCTATATATTTGGCATTTCCTTTATTAATGTCATCATAAGGAATTTGAGGTCCAGAGAGGAAAATTCAGAGTCAATTGGTTGAAACTGGAACAAGAAATTAAGAACTTGTTGCTTTGCCTCCCATGGATTTGTCACCCCTCTTCCCCTGGGTGACGGAGCTGCAAAGGATTACTCAAAGCCCATCTCTTCTGAGCAGTGAGAAGCCCTGAAGTGGTTAACCTCCCCGGAATCCTCAAGGGAGAGACATTCCTTCCATTTGGGAAATTAACCCCGAATTGGGGTTCTTTTCTTGCATTTATTCTCCAGCCCAGGAAGTTACAGGAAGAGACATAGGTAGGATTATAGTTTAATAATATAGGCTGGTAACTTTCAGTGAAACAAGTCAGATGATATTTCATTAAGGCAATTAAGTGGTCCACCCACAAAAGCTTGATCTTAGCAAACATTCTCTTCTTACAGCAATTTCCCAGTATCTTTACATATCAATCAGTAACTTGACTGTCTTTGAGCCAGGAACCTTGCTGTGTTACAACTCTTTATCTTACAACAGAGACTCAATAGCCTGGGAAAATTTCCTGTTTTTTGTAAGGTCAGTATTTGAAACTGCAAGGCTTTGGAAAACCAGGCTCTGTGGAGTACTTTTGTTTTATAGTATACTCCACAAGAACTGGGATGATAACTCACTCTCTGCCCTTAATAATAAGGTGGTGGTGGGGGGAGGAATTATTTATTTTGATGTGATTTCCTGGATCATAAAATAACAGCTACTCAGAGGCAGTAGAATAAATGTAAAAGCAAAATGAGCACAAAATTTTAATTCTGAAGGAAATTGAAAATATAATTTACTTTTGCTAAGTATGAAATAATAATTGTTAACATTTATTGTGTTTAGTTCTGGGCCACATAACTATGTTTTATACATTATCTCATTTAATTTTTGTAACAGCTCTATGAGAAGTAGGTATTATAATTCATATTGAGGAAAAAATACTGAGCTACAATATTGTACTACCAGGAAGTAGCAGAATTGGTATTCAAATGCAGATCTGTGTGACTCTAAGCCCAAACCGTGAGCCATTACGTGCTCTATTATAGCTTTCTTTTTCGATTTAACATACCTTTTCTAAGAGGAAATAGGGTCTGAGAAAACCCATCCAAAGCTTAGTCACTCTGTAGATACCTTTTGATTAAAAAAAAATGTATATAGTGTTTTAAATTGCTATTATTTTAGAAGTATAAATTTCCAACAGTTGGAAAGTCTTTAGTGATTATTCACTTCCCCTAAAAATTAGTGAAACATAGTCTAGTAGCATCTAGCCTTAACTTTTTATTTTATTTTTAAACAGAAACATTGCTCCCTTCATCTTGAGAGATTACAAGAATCACAAAAGGTCACTATACAGATATCACAGGTTAGAGAGATTGTACCCTTTTCTGGATAAAGAGCATAAATCCAATGGTACAGACCTTATATACAAGAAGGTTTAAAATGACTTTATTTAGATGAATTAAATCACATTCCCACATACCCTAGTTCTCTAATGAGTGAAGTGATGGCTATCAAGTGTTACAACTAACATCCTATTCTTCTGAAGAGTGAGGGGAGCTGGAGAAAACATGTAGCTATGTAGCCTTTTATTCATTGTTTTCTAGAATTATTTTTGACATTATGTGAGAGTTTATTGGTATAGGAAAGTTACTCAGTGGAAACAGCATATTTTCTCTCAAACAAGTTGCCACAGAACCAGTAAAATAAATGTAAAGTTTAGTATGAACACAGATGTTAGGAAGTGGTAGAATTATATATTTTCTGCTTATTTCCTTGGAAAGACAGTTTACCATTTTGGAATTACCTTTTTACTTTTTTTTTTTTTAAAGATGACCAGTAAGGGGATCTTAACCCTTGATTTGGTGTTGTCAGCACCACGCTCACCCAATGAGCTAACCAGCCATCCCTATATGGGATCCGAACCCACGGCCTTGGTGTTATCAGCACCACACTCTCTCGAGTTAGCCACGGGCCGGCCCTTAGAAATACCTTTTTAAAATCTGCGTTTATATTGATCTGTTATTTAGTTTGGAACTAGATGGCTCTTTAAATCTTGCCTTTTAATTATATAATTTGTTACAAAATGGGGTTCTTCAGCCCAAACTAAAAGAAGTCCCAAGCTTGGTGCCTCTGTTGCCCTGCTTGAGTGAGTAAATACACAAGTAAATAATAAAAGTATGTAAATACATATGAACAGATAGTCTTGTTATAAGCACTTTGGAAAAGGCCAGAAGTAAAAAATCACAGCCATGGTCTCCAGGGAGCTTTAAATGTAGTAAGAGAGAAGTTTGCCCTTTTTTTTTTTTTAAACCTGGACAAACTTAGATATTCTCTAAACTGTGTTTCTGAATTGCTTACCTTTTTTGTGAGAGAAAATAAAACCTCTCTTTGATGATCAGAGAAAATGTTTTCTGATGGCTCTGTGGCTATGTGGCCCAACCTGCCTTTTTTTTTTTTTTTTTTTTAACTTTAGAAGTCACTTCATGAGTAGTAGCCTGTTCCCTTATCGGTTAATTTTTTTCTGAGTAGTTTCGAAGTTAAAGAGGATTTCTTCTACTTCAAGTAAAGAGATTATAGTTTTCTGTCTTTGTTATATAATATATTGATTGCTTGTGCTGAGTTTGCTTTGTGTTATTCCTTAGAATTTCTTTGTAGATTAGTTCTTAAACTTTCAGAGAAGTTGGATAGACTTAAGAATTTCAAGAAGTTTAATGAGAAACAGTATCAGGTGGAAACACTGCCTGAAAGTTATCCCCCGACCCCTTTTTTTTATTTGGAGATTTGGGGACTTTATTTTTACCTTTATACATCATACTGTGAGTAGTCACACATTTAAAAAAAATTCAGTTCAGAATTACCTAATGCTCCTTGGTTTGTTTTGTTTGCTTGTGTTTGACCTCTTTTGACTGTGGTCTAGTTAGTATTTTAAATAGTATATTTTGGTCATGTGTTTAAACTGGTACACACTGGTGTTTTCATTAAAACAGAAATGTTGATTATAAATTCCTATCCACATTTTTGTGTTGGTGTCCTGTATTCACTTGAGGCACCTACATATTGAAAAATAAGTTACAGTTTTTAATGTTATTAAACTAACTTTGTAAGTAGCTGGTCAAAGACATGCCTGTTGCTCTTTTTGATAATCGTTGCTGTCAATAAAGGACTTTGGAGGGTTATAGAACTCTGATCAATTGGTTATGAAAACTAATTTCTGGCAGTTGCTGATAGAAGCACACCAGGTTTTGATATGTCTGCTGTTTATGTTTTGATGTAAAAGCACCTCAATAAAATTATTATTTGACGTTTTAAGCCACTGAGCATACTTTTTCATGTATTTCTAAGTATGGTCGTTGCTGTCTGCTTTGTAAAGACTGAAAATGATTTGTCCCTTTCCCAGTGTAATGTTTTCTTCCCTTTAGTTCATAGCAGAGGATGAGCAGAATGAATGTAGATCAGGAATTTAGATAGTTAATCCTTGCAATTCTGTCTGTACAAAAGAGAAAGATTAGTTACTACGTGTAAACAAATAATACCTGAATGTATGAGCATATCTTAGAGATATATATATATATATTTTAAACCGAACCCGTGGCCTTGGTGTTATCAGCACCGCACTCTACCGAGTGAGCCACGGGCCGGCCTTATCTTAGAGATATTTATTAATGAATTAGATGTGTTCTTAAAATACACCAGTCTAATTTATCAAATGGCTTTCCCCCCCAGTTCTGTAGAAAATGTTCTCAAAACACTCGTGAAAAGCTGCCGACCGTAAGTAGCTTCTTAATTTATAAAGTATCTTGTGTTTCTGTGGTTTTCCCCCATCTTTAGTATGCTTTGAAGAGGGAATTAAAGGTATAAATACTTTCTGACATTGTGATGTTTAGTCACTGAGCACAGCATATCATTTCCAACTCTTAAGCTTAATTTTTCACATTTTATTTATAAATTTAAAAAACTTAAAGTTATTTATTATAAAGTAAGAATACCATAATTTACATGTAATCATCTTTATTTGAAAGGCTTTTCTAGAGTATTGTTGTTTTATTCAGATCGAAAATACTTTCCAAAATGAGCATTATAGGCATCGCATTAAAATATGAGTGACAAAGCTTTTTTAAATGTGTTTAAAGCTTTTTTAAATTCTCTTCTAGGAGAATATTTAACTTTAAATATCCCATATTCATATAATTAAAGGTGAATATGGGTAGAATTTGAGTTTAAAAACTTACAGTTGAATTTTATGTACTTGAACTATTTTCTTGTTCTTGGTATCAGGCTATTCTTTTTGAATGGAAAGCCCTATATTTATCACATGCATGTAATAGGAGTCTTATTTACTTAGTAACTAAGTATTTTTATAAATCAGATATTTATTGCTGACCTACTATACTGCCCAGTACTGGGCAAGTGTATTTTTAAGATGTCTCCCTCTTAAGAGGCTTAAGGTCTAACCTGAGTCATAAGCCATCAGTGAGCAGTTTCAGTTTGTGCTAAGCAGTTACTCTCTTGGCCTGTGTTTCCTCACTGGAAACTTGATTATCACCAAGGTACTTACTGGTTCTTAGGTAATTCATAGAACTCCCAAGTTTTGATTTTGGATTACTGGGCTAACAATTGACTCAGAAAAATTATGAAGGGGAATTGATGTATGAGGTTCTTGAAGGCAGAACATAGTTTGGTATTTTTTTTATTTTTTATTTTTTCAAATTCTAACTCGTTACACAAAGACCTGGCTTATAAATGCTTGGTGAACTCAACAGAAGTGTTATTAGAAGTGTAGTTTTAATTTTCAGATAAAGGAAAGGAGTGAAGTGTGAATTTTAATTAACACAAGTGTATGAAGTTATAATACGATTAATAATATGACATGTAAACCAAACCTATAAGTGTGTATATGGAAGGGTTTCCCAACTTCTTTGGGAAGAATCAGATTTCTCATTTGCAGTTTTCTTCTTATTTTAAACCTCTTAAAGGTATTTATTAATTATACACATGTCCTCTTTATCTGTTCATCTTTGTTTTGTGTGTAAATGTGCACACTTTGGATTTTGTAAATCTCCTCTATCCCAGGAATGCTTCTACCTATTTCACAAAATTGCAGAAATTAGCACCTGTAGGACCAGATCATCAAGTCCAGTCCTCCCTTGTATACGGGAGAGCTGTGTGGTCCAGTGAGAGTAAATGGTTTTTATCCAAAGATGCTTAGAGATTCCTGGGCTGATGCTCTCTTTTTTCACTTACTGATTATCCATTTCTGATATAGACTGGATTCTATATGACAAGATCTTTTTGATTGCTATTACATAGCACAAAGGAAGTAAAAACAATAAGCTTATTTAACTTTGTATTTAATTTGAGTGACTGTATTTTATCTGGGTTTTACCAACTTTATAGCATTTTTTAAAAGTTCCTTAGATGGGGAGAATTTACCTTATTCTAAGTGTGATGGGATATTTATTTTAGTGTTGTAAAAATGTGTATTTATTGTGAGCTAACACATTTGTACTACGTGATGTATCTTATGAAATCCATTCCTCTCCTCCCCCTTTTTTGTCAATAATATATTGCTGTTTTAGAGCTTTTAGTCAGTGATCAGATGCATAAAAACCTTCTTTTTTATTAGATATTTTCCATCAGATGCCACAGCTGAAATGCTAGAAGAATGGAGGCCTTTAATGTGCCCTTTTGATGTAACAATGCAAAAGGCCATCACTTATTTTGAAATATTTCTTCCTACCTCCCTCCCTCCAGAACTTCATCATAAAGGTTTTAGGTAAGTATATACATATCTTGACAATTTCTAGAATATAGCAGGAAATATAGATATACGAACTACTAAAGCAATAATAAAAGCTAAAACAGTTAAATATAAGATTGTAAATAAAGAGAAAATAATGCTTATATCACAATCCAAATAAGATGAGGGTTTTAATTTAAGAAATCAGGAGAGAAAGAAAGGGAGAATTGCGACAACGGGTTGTAACAATAAAACACTAAAGATAAACGAGAAAGTCAGGGGAGAGGAAAGAGAAACTTGTAAACAGTTGCTAGATAGGAGTGGATGGTAATTATTTAACAATGAAGTGGAAGATGGGTAGATGAGATTACATTTTTTAGCATAAATAAATTGGAAAGGGAATATTCAGACAAGAAAGACTCCTTTGTTCCGTTAAGTTTGTAACTTTCAGTATTATTTTTCTAGGTTGTATAGTTATCAGTAAGAATAATAGATTAAGAAAAATACAAAGGATACCTGGCTTTGAACCACTTTCTATAATCACTTGCTATTCATAACAACATTTTTCTTCTTCAGACTTTGGTTTGATGAATTAATTGGCCTTTGGGTTTCAGTGCAAAATCTCCCACAGTGGGAGGGGGTGAGTATCTCATTATTTTTTTTTTTCCTCCTATGCTTTTTAGTTTTAGAATAAATAGATCATTTGATAAGTAACTTCAGTTCATTAGAATTGGCTGTTAGCAATGTTGTGATCAATTCCTTTTCATTTTATTTATAGTATTCTAATAGAAGTAGACATTTACTCTGGTTTTCTCCATATGTAGACGTATGAGCATGTATTGTGAAATGCATGAAATGTAAGAGTCTCTTGTTTGTTTTTGGTACCTACCCTAGCATGGTGCTAGACAGACAGAGGATGTTTTCTATATATTTGTTAGATTAAAATTTTCTCTTTGCATTGTGGATGGTGCTTTGTTATTCTCCTTTTTAGAAGCATTTTAACTGCAGTTGATTTTAAATGGATGATATGAATCAGACCTAAATTTGGAAGCTTTTTAAAAACTAAATCATAAACTATGTATTAAATTAAGCTGGGATAATGATTGTTGAAAAGAACAAATGGATGAGGGGCGTGACTGTGACACTTGAGAACACCAATAAATGTATTAACTCTTTTTTTGTTTACTTTCAGCAATTGGTAAATCTCTTTGCTCGATTGGCTACAGATAATATAGGGTACATAGACTGGGATCCATATGTACCAAAGGTAATTAAGAACATTTGAACATAAATACAATAGCACTGACATAAACGTTATGTCATAAAGGAGAAGTGGTTTTTTTTGTACGCTAATTCCAAGCGCCATGTAAGATATTTTGACAGTTATTAAAAACATATGTAAATAATTTACAGGGATGGGTCATCTATTTTCAAAAGGTAATTGGAACATGCCAAGGTATCCTAAGTATGTCATTTTTGTCTTACATATGCAGGACACAAGCTATAAGTTTCGGAGTGAATAATTTGGAAAGTACTAAATATATTATGTATTAAGGGTGTCATGCATTCATCCCTTCTAGCAAACTTTGTGTATTGTATTTGATTGCTACTCTATAGAGTGTTTCCCACTTCTTAGATCACATGATATTTGTATATTTTTCTAGAGTAAACAAAGCTAGAGTGTCTACAGGTGCAATGTGTCTTAACATTGCATCCTTGGTATTGTTTCACCTTCAGGAGAGTCACCTGTGGAGCCTTAGTAAGGATGGGGTGGAGCATCTGGGTGATTCTGATGCACACTCTGCCATTAGAGCGGGGCTGGGGAGCAGCAGAAGGCAAATACTCTGTTTGCCTTTGCTTGTGCTGTCTTCATTTGTTTGCCATTAGAAACTAATTGAGGAGTAGTTTTTTCCCACATTTGGGCCCATATTTTTTAGTAATGACAGACTTAAAATATAAATTTAATTTTACTAAATGCAGTTATTAAGTGACTGATTAAGATTCAAATTCTTAGGGAAAAGAATCAAGTCAGCTGGCCAGTTAGCTCAGTTGGTTAGAGCGTGATGTTATGACACTGAGGTCAAGATCCCCATACTGGCCAGCTGCCAACAAAACAAAACAAAACAAAAAAACAAAAACAAAAATTTTGAGAGGGAAAATAATCTGATAGAAGATATTTGTCTTTGAGTTTGGTGCTGTTCTACATCCTTTGCATGGAATGGGAGCATAGGAAAAATAATTTATGTGCATTTAGAAAGGGAGAAAGGAGTCAAAATATTTCATGTTTACAACACCAGTATCTATATTTTGGCCTTTGATGTTTAACTATAAATATCTCATTTGTCTGTTTTTGAGTAACTGGACATAGCCTCTTCATATTCATGTGCCTGTGACCTCAGCGTGTCATACACTTTGTATATTAACATTTATATGTAATTTTTAAAGAATAAAGCAAGTTACTAAACAGTATATAATTTTGCTTAAAAACCCCCATGATAAAATGAGAATATATTCAATAACAGTAATATACAACAATTACTAAGTTATTTAAGGAATTACTTTGATACCTGTAAATATTTATTTATTAATTTCTTTTTTCTTTTAAAGATATTTACAAGAATTCTGAGAAGCCTGAACCTCCCAGTGGGAAGTAGTCAAGTGTTAGTCCCAAGGTTTTTAACAAATGCTTATGATATAGGACATGCTGTAATATGGATCACCGCCATGATGGTTTGTAATATATTTTATTTGTTTTATATTATTTTCCCCCATTTTGCATTAACCATACAAAATTTTATATATCACAGAAGTTCATATTAGTGGCTTGGTATGTTACTTGATTCTTGGATATTTTCTGATGTAGTAAGCTCATATTTATCAGATCCAAAATGTAGTCATAATGTACCATTTATGTCTCCTTAACCAAAGGACCTTAAAAGTAGAGTAAAAAAAGAGTTTTGAGGGATTCAAAATGTCTACCATTTTTACAGACCAGGAAGCAAACTCATGGATAAAAGGACTTTCTCAGGGTAGGATTAGAACTCTGGATTCTGCATATGCTCAGAAACTCCATTACTCATTCACTGTTAATGTTCACAAAAAACATTACGCTGCACACAAAGCGTATTAGCAAAGTAATCTTAGTGAAGGCAGAGATATGAAGGATCATTTCACTGCCATCATTGAAGAAAAATAAAAGTATATCCATAAGCTTCGATTTCAGTGTCATCTTTCAAATAAGGATATTAGAACAACTTTGTATTATAGTTTTCTGGCTTATCATTCATATATTGCTTTTATAGCTGTCTCCTCTTTGAATTATTACTCTGTATTTAACATTAGCTTGTTTCTGTGGGAAAAATAGAATGGTTGTTAATGGTTTACCTCTTTTATTGTAAAATAAAACAAGAGAAATTCAAGCTTCCCCTGATTTTGCCATTTTATTGTTAAAAACAGGGAAAATCCCGTTTTTTCCCCTAATATTCAATAAAAGCAAAAACGTTTGGATGTTTGCTGTTTTGCATAAGCAATGAATTGAAACTCATTTGGGGCTGGGAGCACAGAATTGGATAGTGGTTAGTATCAGCCTTATTTGAGTTAATTTTGCTCTGCTTTCTGACACAGTTCTCATTGGCAGCTTCATTTTGTGTTAAATGTGAAAATATAATAAAAAATCAATAATGCTAATTATTGTGTTAGAATTTTGATCTCTTTGAGTGGTTGTCCTATTCTAGTTACTAGATTGGGAAACATGAACATGAATTTCAGCAGAAAAGCATGTTCCTAATGTAATTTGACTTTTATCTTAGGTCTGTGCTGTTTCTTGAAAGAAGGTTCATCATGAGTCAGATAGGAGGTTTCAAGGGCAAGTTGTAGTCCTTTATCCCAGGGCTGTTCAACTTGATAAGATAAAAGCTAGCTCATTTTTCTCCCAAGTTATGTTATTGTTGTTTGATTGGTTGTTTTGTTTGTTTAGTTGGTTGTTTTGACAATAGACCAAGAAATAAAAATATTTTTCTTTGAGTCAAAATGTGGTTAAATATAACAAGTTCGATCATTTTAAACATTTAGGTAAATTTCCCCTCTCCATTTTGTTTAATGAAAATTTCACTTAGGGGGCCGGCCCGGTGGCGCACTGGATAGTGCGCCGCTTGGGAAGCGCGGCGGCGCTCCCGCCCGAGGGTTCGGATCCCACATACGGACCGGTTCCCGCTCACTGGCTGAGCGAGGCGCGGGAGCGACACCGAGGGTTGCGATCCCGTTGCCGGTCCCCGGTCCGGTACGGGGGCAACACTGAGGGTTGCGATCCGTTGCCGGACACGGAAAAAGACAAAAAAAAAAAAAAAAAAAAAAAAAAAAAAATTTCACTTAGTCATTTGAGGAATGCTTTTTATGCCTGAGGCTACCATTCTTGGTTGTTTTAAGATAATAATCTCAGTGATAAACTTTGCTATCCAAGTTATTTGACCACAGAACTGTGAAATAATACTGTTATCCTAAGTAGAAAGATATCTTTTTAACTTTATAATTTGGTTTAAGTTGTCCTTATCATTAGTAGAATGGTTTGAATTGATTGCATGAAGTTTGTTGGGGAATTATTTTCAGCTCTTATTTTGAGGTAGAATTGGTTTTTGTCAGCAGGATGAATGTGAACCGTGTTAGAGACTTAATATAAAAGCTTGGGCCTGTTGCCCCTTTATTTTTACAGTATACTGTAGGTACTGACATTTTTACTCTTTTTATCTGGACAGGGTGGACCAAGTAAGCTAGTGCAAAAACACTTAGCTGGTTTGTTTAACAGCATCACATCTTTTTACCATCCTTCAAATAATGGGCGCTGGCTGGTGAGTGTGTGTTCATTTTGCACTGTAGGTTTTGGAATCTTAAAAGATGCTGCCATATATGAAGCACATTTTCTGTGCTTCGTAATAAGCTTTGGCTATATGTAAATGATTAAGCTCAAATTAAGTTATTATGTTTGTAGAACATAGAGAAATAAGACAATGCTGGTGTGCTAACTAGATACAAAATGGCACATTTTGGCAACAAAATAGTAACAAAAATGCCTCAAAAGCACGGAGTCATCTTTTCAGTTTTATCGTGCCCACCTGTCATTTGTTTTTTAAAGTTGCCCAGTTAAAATGGCTTTTTATGTAATGGAAAAATTCATTTTTATTAGTTATTATCAATAATTAATTGGTAAGAGTGTTTTAATTCTATCTAGTTATGCTGTGCAGGTAATTGTAATAAGGTAGTAACAGATGTTATTTTAAAATCTTTTCTTGAGAGAACCATGAATGTCTGTGTGGGAAAGCAGAACGTACCTAGAATTTTTGCTTCTGTGTCCCCAGAACAAGTTAATGAAACTACTTCAGCGGTTGCCAAACAGTGTTGTTAGAAGATTGCATCGTGAAAGATACAAGAAGCCCTCTTGGTTAACTCCTGTGCCCGATAGCCATAAGCTTACTGATCAGGATGTTACAGACTTTGTACAGTGCATAATTCAGCCTGTCCTCCTGGCTATGTTTAGCAAAACTGGTAGTCTAGAAGCAGCCCAGGCTCTGCAGAATCTTGCACTCATGAGACCTGAGTTAGTAATACCCCCTGTACTTGAAAGGTAAGTGTCGTTTTACATGTTTTGTCAAATCCTCCCTCTATTCTGTTCTGGTTGCTTCTCTCTCTCTCTCTCTCTCTTTTTTCCCTGTGGTTTGCTTTGATTTTTTGGTGCTTACCTCATGTTCCTAGAGAAGTAATACATTTTAACATAATGATTGGTTACTTGATAAAGGCTTATTGGAGAGAAAAAGAAAATTGAAATGAAATGGGTAACATAAGTATTTTAGATTATTTGCACATTTTAGTTACCTAAGTTTTTTTGCTCATAAATTAAGATGTAGCTGGTTTTTCATGAAAATTTTAGTGAGTGCCCTTAAGAACAAGGCAGCAAAGGTGATTTTGGATTTCTCTTATTTCTTAGGATCAGTGATACAGAAGAAAATTTTGTTATCAATAAAGATAAATTAAAAAATAATAAAATTTTCATGTATTGTATAATCTCATGTGTATTGTTTTTACAGTGTAAATTGTACTGCATTCATTTTGTTTTCGTATCTTGAAACAGTAACAAAAATTGCTCTCTGCTTGCCTAGTCACTGCCACAATATAGGCCTGGTGTGCTTTCCAAGAGAGAACTGCTTGTAATTTTTTGAGTGTTCAGGACCAAATTATTTAAGCTTTCTGTGTGCCTTTGCTTTCTCTGCTGCCTGAACTTGAACCTTATGATTTCTCTCTAAATGTCTTTGTCAAAAGTAGAGGAAGAAATTAGATTTTCGAGCCCAGAAGGATCTAACAATTAAGTTTCTTAAAAATTTGTCCAAGGTCCTTAATGGCAGAATCCAGACCACAGCCTATTTTCTGACTGAGTATTGGTCACATTTACTTGAGGAAGGGTATCCTGTTAAAGACCAAAATGGAGCTCCATCTTCTGTAAATTTCAGTTGCTTATGTTATATCTCACCCTGCCCTTGTTGCCAATAAATATTCAAGTTAGGTTGTACCTTGCTTTCCCAACCTCTCCTATTTTAGTGTACACGTATTGGGGGACTGAAACTCTGCCAACACATAGAACTTAATTAGGAAATGGAGTGGGAAGGTAGGCAGTTTCTCCTATATGGAGATCTTCAACAATCCCCTCCCCCATATTCTTTGCTACTTGGTCTCCATGAGGTGGTAGAAGCTAATGGTCAATGACAGGTCCCTTGCCACTCCTTGGAGAAGAGGGAATTCATCTGTTTTGCATAGGTAAAATTTTGAAGTTTGGGGTGTTTTGGTGTTTCTTTACTTCCCCTTTGTTTTGCCTTATTTCAGAGTGTTTTAGGTGATTAATTATGAATAATGATGTAAATTTTTTTTTTTCGTGTCCGGCAACGGATCGCAACCCTCAGTGTCGCGCCCGTACCGGACCGGGACCAGCAACGGGATCGCAACCCTCGGTGCTGCGTCCGCACCTCGCTCAGCCAGTGAGCGGGAACCGGTCTGTATGTGGGATCCGAACCCTTGGCGGGAGTGCCGCCGCGCTCTCAAGCGGCGCACTGTAGCAGTGCGCCACCGGGCCGGCCCATGATGTAAATTTTTAATAAAAAGAAGAAAGCTCATAAATTCAAATACATATGTCCATGACATTTTTCTTTAGTCCTCAATTTTTGGACAAATTTAGTATCAGCATATTGAGTGATATTGTATGCTTGGCCGAGATGAATATTTAATAGACAAAATTGACAATACGATGATATTTTAAAGACTTTGAATTGTAATTTTGTGCTGTTTTAAGTGGCGTGACTATTTTTTTGAAGATTTTTTTCTTTTATAAAAGTAAAACCCTTAAAAATGTAGAAAAGTTTTATGCACTTAGTTTTTCATTTGCAAATATAGCCTCCATTAAAGAATTTAGTATGTTTTCTTCATCTTTTTAAAAAGATGACTGGTAAGAGGATCTGAACCCTTGATTTGGTGTTATCACCAACATGCTCTCCTGAGTGAGCTAACCGGCCATCCCTATATAGGTATCTGAACCTGTGGCCTTGGTGTTATCAGCAGACACTCTCCCAAGTGAGCCATGAGCTGGCCCTTGTAAATGGAATTTTTTTTTTTTTGTCTTTTTCCATGTCCGGCAACGGATCGCAACCCTCAGTGTCGCCCCTGTACCGGACCGGGGACCGGCAACGGGATCGCAACCCTCGGTGTTGCTCCCGCGCCTCGCTCAGCCAGTGAGTGGGAACCGGTCCGTATGTGGGATCCGAACCCTCGGGCGGGAGCGCCGCCGCGCTTCCCAAGCGGCGCACTATCCAGTGCGCCACCGGGCCGGCCCATGTAAATGGAATTTAAAATGAGTGTATTTTAGACTTTTCCCCCCTGTAAGATAGATTCTCAGAAATGAAATCACTGAGTCACAGTGAATGTTCTTGGCTCTTAAATTCTTAGTTAGTGATCAAAGATTGCATTTGTCTTATTCCCACAGTTTAAAAATAAATTTTTAAAACAGTGTCAGAAAATATTCTTATATGTTCCTGATAACTGATTTGCAATTTAAAAATACAGGTCTTTTTAAAAGTGTAAATCAGGAGAAATTTCAGCATTTTATTAGTAAGATTGTTTTTCCTATAAAAGGGAAGAGTGGTGTATTTGTATTGTTATTCCTGAATTCTAATAATCACTGACCATTAGGTTAGTATGATGTGGATTAAGACGGCCTATCAGTTTATGTTCTTTTTCACTGTGGAATTTCCTCAGAGAAAGGTATTGAGGTAGCAGGGGATTAGGGAAACATGCAATAAATAGTCCTTTCTTTATGTAATTCTGTTGACTTTGATAGCACATCTTCACTCTGACTATAAATCTTTAAGCCAAAATGTAGTTCATGAATTTAATATGTTTAATGTATTATATATGTTTATCTGTGATTGAAACTTTTAAAATTCTGTTTTTATACTATAGAACATATCCTGCACTAGAGACATTAACAGAACCTCACCAGCTTACAGCTACTTTAAGTTGTGTAATTGGAGTAGCCCGCAGTTTGGTATCAGGGGGCAGATGGTTTCCTGAAGGTCCAACACACATGCTACCTCTGTTGATGAGGGCATTGCCTGGGGTGGATCCAAATGACTTTAGTAAATGCATGGTGAGCATATTGATGATTTTGTTTATATTTAAGTTATAATTGTGTAAATGAACATCTTTTAAATTTCTCTTCAGACACCCTGTATAACACAGTTCAGTGTAAAATCTATTAATGGTAACAGCATTATATGTGTACATACCTAAATTTAGATCGTGGACAGTTGGTCTATGTAATGCTTTCCTTCGTAAGATATTTGCTGTAACCTGTATACATTTAATGATCATTTGATGTTTTAAGTCTCATTATATATTTACTATTTTTCTTAAACAGAAATGCTAAAAATCATAGCATGTGATCACTTGCACTTTGCTTCTTCTATGATAGTGACAAAGGGAGTGTGGTGAAAAGTTACTGAATAAAAAATGCCAGAAGACATACGTCTTCTCTTAACATCCCATCTGCTCTCTTCCCTGGTGCCTAGTTTCTGCATTAGCATTTTCTGTTTACCCTTAATGTTACATTTTTAGGTGGAAGGCAAAGTAACTTTTCAGTATTGGAGAACTTTGTTCTTAAACTTAGTAAATAACTGTATGAAAATAAATTTAGAGTAACTTAATTACTAACGTATCAGCTAGATAATTATGAAACATTTTTTTGGAGAGGGGCGGCCAGTGGCTGGCCAATAACAGGAATCGAACTCTGTACCTAGATGTTATCAACACTGTGCTCTAACCAACAGAGCTAACTAGCCAGCCCTGAGGATTCTTAAAATGTTCAGTTCTAAGTGAAAAATACTCAGAAAGATTGTTGTGGGATTTCCCTCAAGATAATTTATTTGGGTACTTTACTGTAGCTTATGGTAGTACCTGTATTTTTGAATCAGAATTATGTAATTAGTGTTGAAAATCCTTTCCATCTTCCCACAGATCACATTCCAGTTTATAGCAACATTTTCTACTCTGGTGCCTTTAGTCGATTGTTCATCTGTACTGCAAGAAAGAAATGACCTCACAGAAGTAAGGATGCTTTCTGGTTATAAAAGTTAACTGAGTTGTGATTCTTATTGTATATGCATAGTTATATTTCATAGTTTTGAAACAACTTTGGATAAGTTTTGCAAAGAAAACTTACTATTTTGTGACCAGAATGGTGTAATTGGAGGACCAGATAATAAGATAGGCTGCAGAGAATCCACCATAGAAGGTGGATCAAAAATGGGCCATTTCTGTAACAACTAACATATGGAGGTGCATTTCAATTTTCTGTCACTTTTCAATGTTTTCTTAAGAAAAGATGGTGGTGTTTTGTTTTTCCATCATTTTTTATTAGGAATAATCTGTCCAGGGGATTGGCATCTAATGAAGAGAGATTTTTCTTCATTAGCGTCTGGTTCTTTTAGAACTATTTTCTTTATTGCAAGTGTGTTTCTTGACTTCTGTCATTTTGATGTTCAAGTAGTGAGAGACTATCCTTTATATATATACCAGCAGTTTGAAAACTAATTTATAATAAAAGATGGATGCTTGACTTCTGTTTTTGGCTCTTGTAAAATGTTAATTACTTCTTATTTTGCTTCCTAGAAAGTAGTAGATCAGGCTATTATAAATTGATATGTGGTAATGGTGCAGTACCCAGTATAATCATTTAGTATTAGATTTATTTGTTAGGCCATAATTGAGTTTTGTTAATTCAGAGGGGAAAAAAAAACAAAGGCTACCTGTAATTTTCTCACATTGGAATGTTGTAGGTAGAACGAGAACTTTGCTCAGCCACAGCTGAATTTGAGGATTTCGTCTTACAGTTTATGGACAGGTGAGCTTGTAGACCTGCTCTTTTATCTAACACTCAAGAAAATGACTGTCCTGTCCTAGAAACCTTAGTTTCTCTCTGCATTATTATTTAGCTACTTCCCAATGCTGATGCTTCTGAAGTTACAAAAGGACAATTGATTTGTGGGTCATGTACAAATTAAGTAACTATCACTTGAATAGTCATAATAGTAGAGACTTATCTAATCACCATCAAAAATGTTAAACCAGTTTTCAGTTGCTAAAATTATGCTTTGTTTGGATTTTTTAGATGCTTTGGACTTATAGAAAGTAGCACATTGGAGCAGACTAGAGAAGAGACAGAAACTGAGAAAATGACTCACTTGGAGAGTTTGGTGGAATTAGGTCTGTCTTCTACATTTAGCACAATCCTCACACAATGTTCCAAAGAAATATTTATGGTAAGAGAGCATTGCTGCAAAAAATCAACTTCCTATCTTTTAGTTTTATTTGATTTTTTAAAATAAAATTGAACTTCAAGTTACTTTGTGTTTGTTATGCCAGTTTATCCTTTCCGTTCACACTAAAGTTTAAAAAAGATGTGCAGTTGGTCCTCATTTGTAAATTTTGTATTTGCAAATCCATTTACTTGTTCAAATTTATTTGTAACCTCCAAATCAATGCTTTTGTGAAGACATACGTACAGTGGCAAAAAATTTGAGTTACCTAACTAACGTAAACATTCCCAGTTTGTGTCGTATAAGGTGACACCTCCAAATCAATGCTTTTGTGAAGACATACGTACAGTGGCAAAAAATTTGAGTTACCTAACGTAAACATTCCCAGTTTGTGTCGTATAAGGTGACATTCTGTTGTCTTGTTTTAGCTCTCCTACTGTAAACAGGTGTCTTTTTCGCAGTCTGTTTAGTGCCATGTTTTCACATTTTCTTGCGTTTCATTGGTGATTTTGCTGTTAAAAATGGCCCCAAAGAGAATAATGCTGAATTGAGGTCTGGTGTTCCTAAGCATAAGAGAGTTGTGCTATGCCTAATGGAAAAAATACATGTGCAGGGTAGGCTTCATCAGTTCTGTTGAATGCCAGTTCAATGTTAATGAATCAATAATATGTATTAATTATGTTGTCTATAAACAGAAACACACTTAAAACAGGATTATGTATTGATCAGTTGATGAAAATGTTGTGACCAGAGGCTCACAGGAACCTAATCCTATGTTTTCCATAGGAGCAATGGTTCAGTATTTGCTAGTTCAGTGTTCACAACAACTTTATAGATCATAACTGCCACGAATAAGAAACAGTTGTATTTTTTAAATATACAATTAAATATAATTATTTGGGAGAGAAGTTTTGGAAAGTGTTTATGCCATCACATGACAGAAATTAAATCCTAATTATAACAATCTGGCTGTGATGGATTAGGAATAGTTATCCTTGAGGGCTGCCCAGTTAGCTCAGTTGGTTAGAGCACAACCCTGTAACACCAAGGTAATAGGTTTGAATCCCCATACCGGTCAGCTGCCAAAAAAAAAAAAGAGAAGTAGTTGTCCTCATAAGGCATTCAGTAAACATTCACTTATTCAGTATTGGTTGGTACCTTTTATGCACAGTGTGGTCTTTAAGATCATACTTTATTTCCATTATCACTGTTTAATATGTTTATCCTAAAAACTAACCTGCCTTACAACTGCATGAAATATTTACTATGATGGTAGTATAAAGAAATAAACATAAATCATCTCTTATTTAATTGAAAGGAGTTGTTTGTAAGTTAAAATTCTTTGATGTGATTGTAAAATTAAATAGACTGCTTCAGTCTTCTTGGGTAGGGTTAGATGTTTATAGTTTGTAGGGTTTTTTTTTTTTTTGTCTTTTTTACTGACCGGTAACGGGATCGCAACCCTCGGTGTCACACCCGTACCGGAGACCGGCAACAGGATCGCAACCCTCGGTGTTGCGCCCGCACCGCGCTCAACCAGTGAGCGGGAACCAGTCTCCACATGGGATCTGAACCCTCAGCAGGAGCGCCTCCGCGCTCCCAAGCGGCACACTCTCCAGTGCGCCACCGGGCCGGCCCTATAGTTTGTAGTTATCAGAATAAAAATTGTATTTGACATTCCAAAAAATTTCCTTTGTTATGCTGGATTAGCCAACAAGATAATTAAATTGCATTTTGCTTCCACCGGCTGTAATTTTGTGTGTAATGTTTCTGTAGCAAGTAAAATCTTGGCCTCAGATGTTTGTGCAAGTTGGGATCATGTGCAAAAATTGTTCTTAGACCTAAATGTAACATTGTCAAGCAGATCTTATTAAATCAGATGATTAAATATTGCCTCTGTGGTTATTTTTGGAATATAGTCATCATTTTCTTTTGTGTTCCATAAGTTGTTTAATTTTCTAAAAAATCCTGATTAGATATTTTCATTTCTTACATATCTTAACAGGTGGCCCTTCAGAAGGTTTTTAATTTTTCTGTTTCACATATATTTGAAACAAGAGTAGCAGGTCGAATGGTGGCAGACATGTGCCGTGCTGCTGTAAAGGTGAGCTTATTGTTTTGAACTGATAATGACTCAGCAAACAAGTTTATGTGGTTAATTATTTCATAAGTGCTTGTTATGCTTAAAATACATAGTTCTTTCAGTAGCTGCTTGTATCTCTTATTTGCCATTGAAAATAGTGCTAGTGTATATTTTGTGATTGTTCAATATTTGCCTTTCAAAAAAACTTATTTATACAAACATGTTTTTAGTGCTGCCCAGAAGAATCGTTGAAGCTGTTTGTTCCCCACTGCTGCGGTGTTATAAATCAGCTTACAATGAGTAAGTCATAAGGTCATTATTCTGTCTTTATAATTTTAGATAAATTTTTTTCTTGGTTTCTAGAACTTGGTTATTGACAACAGATTCTTTTAAGCTATGTAATATTTTAATTTTGCAGTTTGGTGTAGAATTGCCTCTTGGTTGGCAGGTAGCTTAGGAATTTTACTTTATTAAGCTAATATTTTCAAACAACAACCATCCAGAGGTTACCTTCAAAAATATCAGTTATTTTGTGAGATGTAGAGGGACAGAAGTCCCGGTTTGTGTTTATTTTCTTGAAACTTAAGTTTCCGCCTCCTTTTGGAGCGAGTTCAGCTTCATGAAGAAGAAATAAAAAGTCTCCCTGAAAAAGACTTTCCTCAGCTATTAGAAATATTAAATAGAAATACTTTAAACTAATGTATTTAGTTGGATGCCTAGTTTTTTTCTCTGATACTATTTTGCCATTTTTAGATGATGATGTATTGAATGAAGAAGAACTAGATAAGGAATTACTATGGAACCTTCAACTTTTGTCTGAGGTATTGTAAATCTTTGGAATAACAAACATTACTATGAAAATGTTGACTTGCTTTTAGAGTTTAGCACTTTCTCACAAATTGACTTTAAGCCTTTTGAAAAGTCAGAAGTTTTAGAAATTTCTTGATATGGCTGCAGAAAGTCAAAATATCTCATATTCTCTCATCAAAGGAGTATGGTAATTGTTGATTACTGCATGTTCAGCAATCTGCTTGACTGAGTATGGACAACTCATTAATTGAAAAGTTTATAACATTTGGGAAATCTTTTTTTTTCTCTCTACATTTTAAATTTGGCTATCCATCAGACTTCAGTTTCTTTATATGTTAGTTCAAAAATTTAATTTTTATCCCTTTGAGGAGCTAGGATCTTTTAAAGGAGATGTTACTATGGCACATGAAAGCCTAAGTTCAGAAAATGTATTTTGATTTTAGAAATAAATTATTAGAGTGCAGTTAAAATGACGATCCTAAAATGAATTAGTCATTTTAAGAAACATTTACTACCGTGGGTTATTTTATATTTTAAGTGGCTAAACATTAAACTTTGTATTAATTGTTGATTCTTCATATTTTAACCAAAATATCTTTAACTGTTTTTTTCTTCTTTTTAGATTACTCGAGTGGATGGGAAGAAGTTGCTTCCTTACAGGGAGCAGCTTGTAAAGATTCTCCAAAGAACCCTACATTTAACCTGTAAGCAGGGTTACACTCTGTCCTGTAACCTTTTGCATCATCTTCTTCGTTCTACTACACTTATCTACCCTACAGAATACTGCAGTGTGCCAGGTGGCTTTGAGAAGCCTCCATCTGAATACTTTCCTATCAAGGCAAGCATTTTCAATAATTTAGGGTTCAAGGATATATTGGGTTCTTTTTCTAAGGGATTTGAACTGTGGTTTTTTTCCTGTTGTATATAAAGATACTTGTTTTATTTTAAAAATAGATTATTAAAACTGTTATTGGAATGTATTAAAATTGTTCTGTCTCACTTTGCGTGGAGCTAAAACTCTAGTTTTCTTCTTTTCTATTTGTATGTGAAACAATTTGGTATGCCACATCTAATCTCCATAGTTCCATGTAACTTTATTGCTAAACTAAATATCCTCACATAAGCTTGCTGTCAGTCTTATATAGTAAACTCATATTGAGTGGCTTTTCTGGGAGACTTTTTTCAGGAGTGATAATGAAGAGGTAATATGTTTTCATGCCACTTTTTTGCATATTATTTGTTAGCTTAGGTTTGGATTATTTATACATTTCCTTTTAAACCTTTAAAATTGTGTGTATATGTGTTTTCTTCAACGTCTTAACTTGATGAACAAATGCTCTTCTTTTCTAGGATTGGGGTAAACCTGGGGACTTGTGGAATCTGGGAATCCAGTGGCATGTTCCTTCTTCAGAAGAAGTGTCTTTTGCCTTCTATCTGTTGGACTCCTTTCTTCAGCCTGAGCTCATCAAACTCCAGCACTGTGGGGATGGAGAACTTGAAATGTCTAGGTTGGTTTTTTTAATAATCAAAACTAGTGTTATTTGGTTGCAGACTAAAAAAACCTTTTGTGCCTTTCTCTATCTATGGCATATCTGATGTATTCATTTTTATGTGTGTTTTGAAAATCTGCCTTAAATGTACTTAGAAAATTTGGCAACATTTACACACTTTAAATAGAAAAACTCTGGGTTTTTTTTCCTAGTTTGTTTTTAGTAAAGCCTTCTACTAAGCAGTTTCACTTGTGTATCTTTTGGAATGTGTATGTATATATGTATGTATGCCCCCTTTGAAAGGAAATGCCTATTTTTTTACTCTCAGCTTAGAATTTATTGGGTTGTTTCTTTTTAGTATTTCACATTATTGACATTAATGTTACTTAGAGAAATATCTATGAAATTATTTTTTTCTCTCCTATTGGCATTTTAACAAGAAATGGTTATTTGAAATTATTAGACATACAGTTTGAATCTTAGAAAGTTCCTAAAATAGTAGTAAGAAAATTAGTATGTGTCAAACACCAGAAATCTTTAATAAACAGATTCAGTGGAAAAAGGTTTGGAGGAACAAGAAATCAAACTGATTAATGTTGATTATATAGTACTCTAAACTGTTTTTGGAAGTAAATGTTTAGCTAGTTCCTTTTTTAAAAGATGGAGTAATCTGGAAGATCTTCTGTAGCACTATTTCCCCTTCATACCTTCATATTATTGTTGGGATATTTGGTAAAGAGGTGATTAAATTCAGAAATGCTTCATAATGATTAAGTAGATGCTAATTTCAGTACACTAAGATCATTTTTTTTCAACATCAACATCTCATACTGAGCAAGTTAATGAAAACCACATATAAATGAGTAAGTAACCCTCTTCTCTCCCCTGCAAACAAAAACACGAAGAGAAGGACTATTTGCTGATTTTGCAACAGAAATCTTAAAAAATTTTAAGGGAATGGTTTAAAATTTGGCTTACTTGTCTTCCCCATATTCTGTATAGTCATTGTTTGGAATCATACTTTTCTATATTTCCCACTTAATTCATACTAAAAACTGTTTATGGGCATTGAACTTTTCAGATTATTTTTTGGGTTTAAGAAGGAAAGGTAGTCCCACGTACAGACCGGCCGCTCACTGGCTGAGCAAGGTGCGGGCGCAACACCGAGGGTTGCGATCCCGTTGCCGGTCCCGGTGCGGGCGTGACACTGAGGGTTGTGATCCGTTGCCGGTCACGAAAAAAAGACAAAAAGGAAAAAAAAAAAAAAAGAAATGCTTCACAAATGGCAGTCGATTAATTGTTGTTACTTGTGATTAGTTATTTCGAGCCTGTTTAAATGTAAGTGGTAGTATTAGCAATAAATATCTGTTTAATTACCCAATACAATTAAGTTGGTTAACTGGAGATGTTTGCCATTTCTTTTCTTTAATTTTCTGTATCCTGACTTGATCAAGTTTTTGTACTTCACCCTTGACTAGAAGGCTTATTAAGTAGGGATTGAGTCTTCTAAAATTTGGAAATATCTTTTATCTTTTCTAGAGATGATATTCTACAGAGTCTGAGTATAGTGCACAACTGTTTAATTGGTTCAGGAAACCTCCTACCTCCATTGAAAGGAGAACCAGTTACTAATTTGTAAGTAAAAATAACTGCTTTACATATTTTACTGTTTTGTCATTTGGCATGTATTTAAAGTCTTAGTCACTTAATGAGGTATTGGTTTTGTTACTGCTGTTGTTTCTCTGTCACTTTAATCTTTTTATTTGTCATTGTTAGGTCAGAAATACCTGAGGCACGATTAGGTCTCTAAACTTCTTAAAGGCTTTATTAGATTTTCATATGGTACCAGGATAGAGTAACTTTAGATATTAATCAGTCTAAAAATATCAGTGTGGAAATATTAAGTTCATCTGTTAGCTTACTGAGTTAAGTAAAATGATATTCTTTTAAAAAGAAAGAAAAATATTTTATTTTGGTTTACAGTCAATGTTGATTTAGGATTTTGTAGCATTAAAAAAACCTTGTTTTTTAAAATAATTTTTTCAATGTTATTTGTTATGATTTTGAACTTTTTAGTTCTACCATTTGCTTTTATGATTTTAAGTGCTTTTCACAGTAGTGTTATTTTCAATATCTCTATTTAATCCATTGTTAGTACTACCATTTAAACTGATAAAATTGAGTTAGAATGAAATCAGCAATATGTAATAACTTTAGCTTAATGATTAAGTAGATGCTAATTTCAGTACACTAAGATCATTTTTTTTCAACATCAACATCTCATACTGAGCAAGTTAATGAAAACCACATATAAATGAGTAAGTAACCCTCTTCTCTCCCCTGCAAACAAAAACACGAAGAGAAGGACTATTTGCTGATTTTGCAACAGAAATCTTAAAAAATTTTAAGGGAATGGTTTAAAATTTGGCTTACTTGTCTTCCCCATATTCTGTATAGTCATTGTTTGGAATCATACTTTTCTATATTTCCCACTTAATTCATACTAAAAACTGTTTATGGGCATTGAACTTTTCAGATTATTTTTTGGGTTTAAGAAGGAAAGGTAGGGGGGCCGGCCCGGTGGCGCACTGCTATAGTGCGCCGCTGGGGAAGCGCGGCGGCGCTCCCGCCGAGGGTTCGGATCCCACATACAGACCAGCCGCCCACTGGCTTAGCGAGGGGCGGG